CGGACGGTTGTGGCTCCCACCCACTGCCGGCCCACGCCGCTCCCCGCGGACAGCGGTGGGGTCCCCGGTCCTTCCCAGAGGCCAGCCAGGGCCTCCAGGGCTGATGTCACCCGCTCATCAGCTGACCTGCCCGAGGTGCCGGAAGGAAGGCCTTGGGGGGCGCTGCGGATGGGAAGGCGGCCGGTGATGGCCCTGGCGAATGTGCTTCACCCGAAGCCCCGGCCATGCCACCGCGCGCCCGTGGGCAGCGGGGGCCCAGGAGTCTTCCGACTCCAAATGCACGGCTCTCCGTTTGTCTGCACGTTAAGGAAGCCGTGTGTGTGTCTGTGTCTGCACACCTTCTCCGGCCCTGGGAGGTAGCACCAGAGGCCAGGCGCAGATGTGGACAGTCACGCCCCTCCAGGCCTTGGCACTTGACATGGCCTGCTTGGGGAGCAGCGGATCGCCTCTCGTGCCCTCCGCCTCGTGGTGCTCTCACTCGGGCCAGGTGTGTCTGTGTTCAGGAGCAGCCTGTGTCGGGGGCAGGAGCTCCCTGCACTCTGTCTTGTGTGTGCTTCTGCCGTTACCGCCTGCTGCTGCAGCTCTTGCAGCCGAGGCAGAAATCAGATCCACGACCATTCATTTGTCCCTGCCCAGCAGCAGTCGCCGTCCTCCCGTTGGCTGCCTGGCCTCAGAAAGCTCTGAGGCGCGAAACCCACCTCCGCCGCATGGCACGGCTTGATTGGAATCCGTGTGGTTTGGCTTGGGCACAGTCCTTTCCTCCTCACTGAGATGGGCTCTGGGGTCCCTTTGGCGGCGTCGATGAGGTTTTGCGACGACAGCAGCATCATGAAGGACACTTTGGCATGTGTTGCGGCGCCTTCCAAACCTTGCGTCTTCAGGGCAGCGGAGCTTTAAGAGGGTTAGTCTAAGCAGGTAGCTGGGGTCTAGAGGCTGTGCAGTTGCAAGGGACACCCCTCCCCCATTGCACCGTGGGCATCCAGCACGACGTGGGGAAACATCGTCCCTCTTTAGGGGTCCCAGTAGGGATGCCTGAGTCTGGCCTTGGAGAGGGAGTCTACTTTTATAACTCGAGACGAGACCTCTCATCATTCCAAACGGAAGCGTTTGTTAAACAGCGCGCAGACCCGGCCTCTCCTCTGGGGCACCTCCGCCTTCTGTGCTGGAACCGGCCGGGGCTTGGGGGCTGGTTCCGCTCAGCGCTGCCTGTTTCCGGTGGCAGGTGGACGTGGGAATTGGCCGGGGTGCTGGGGAGGAAGGCCAGAGCCCTTTCTCCGGCACCAGGGGGCCGCTGCTGGGGGACCATTCTCCAGCCGTCTCAGCCTGCTTATACCCCTGGGCTCTGCGATAGCCGGAGAGTGTGTGTGCGGTCTCGGCAGGGCTGTTTGCCATTCAGACTGAGGAGAAGCTGTGTCTGTTCCTGTCCTGGCTGTTTCAGAGTCTAGAGGTTTCTGGAGCGGCCTTTCTGGACTTCGGGTCCAGTCCACACGGGAAATGGAAGTTCAGCCAGCTGGAGGGTTCTCAGGGTGGCTGCCTCAGCAGTAAACAGTGACTCACGCGCTCCTCCCCAGCCTCCCGCTCGCTGCAAGTGGAAGATGCGTTGCTCTGGTATTTACTTTTGCTTTTTATAAGTCACAGACTCTTCATGTCTTCGCTTTCTCGCCGTCCCAGGAAATTGAAAGTGTCATCTTCAGATCATGGAATTTTAGAGCAGGTGGAAGTGAGCCTGAGTGCTTACACACACAGTCTGTCCGCCCAGCCACCCGTTTTAGGTGAGGAAGCTGAGGCCACGAGGGTGTGCTGGCTTGGCCTGGGCTCCAGGGCCCGGTCCAGAGCCTGGTTGCTCTCAGCACTGCCTGTCAGGGCATCCTCGGGAAGGCTCTGGGTGGAGCTGCTCTCCCCGTACAGTGGGGAAGTCCACCTGTCCATGGAAGGCCCTCGAACCAGGTCTTGGGAGCGGGTGCCTGCTCACCACGGGAGGGTGATGGGGAGGGCTTTCTGGAGGGAGGGGACCTTGTGCCCAGCGCACAGGGGAGCTGTCAAAAACCCGACGTGTGATGGGGCGGGGAGTCAGGGGTCCAGGGGGGACCCCCAAACGTCTGCCTGTCTAGGTGGTTGTGTTTGGGGCGCCACGGTCCGGGTAAGGGCATCCCCTCTGGCCAGACAGAAGCCTGGGCCTGAGCCAGGGCAAGTGCTGTGGGCACGGGCAGGAGACACTCAGGGACCAGGTTGTCAAGCCTGGCTAGCGAGTGGCTGGGGAAAAGAGGGGGTGACCCGTGGGGATGGAGCCATACCTGAGCTGGAGTTGTGAGGGCGGGTGTCTAGACGCTTCACCCAGGGGATGGCCCTGGCTACACGTGGAGCCTGGACCTGGTGGAAGTCCAGGACAGCTGGGGAGAGAACAGGACTTGACAGGGAAACAGAGGCAGGGGTTGG